TTTTTTTTATTTCAAATTTTTTTCATTTAGATTCAGTATTCAAATCAAGATCTTTAGACTTAATGAGTAGAGTATATAATAGAATTGTCAATTTACCCAATGAGGGATCGAAATAATTAAATGAGTGTAAATGCTAGTTACTGAAACCATTCCATCGTTAAATCATCATGTAATTATCGTGAATAGTTAATCTAACGATTACAAACCCCGACGGGATAGTTCTGTAACGGACTGTAGAATCTGCAGAAAGAGGATATGGAACGAGTCTTCAATACCAGTTAGCTGTTTCACACATCTCTAACCCAATAACAAAACCATCTCACTAGCAAGAACATTTGTTGTGTTTTTTTGAGGTAAAACTCCAAAAAGAAACTGTTAGAGACTGAAGGTAGATCAGTTGAGGTAAGAGGGTTTTGAGAAAAAAATCAGCTGCAAATTTACATTAGCAAGAATCCTTAACCTTATCCAAATCCTAGTTTCACTCATCAGCCAATACGAGTATACGACCAACAAACAGAGCTAAAAAAAAAAGCAATCCAATTACATAAAAACTAGAGTGGGAAAAGCAAAAACCCAGAGATTTGATTCATCTAAGAATCAAAATCCTTATTCTTCCGAAGCAGAGCAAAATACCCAACAACAGCACAGAGCGCAGCCACAACATTCCCTTCCTTGATCAACACCCTGAGCACGAACCCAGTAATCTCAGCCGTCAATTTCTTGCCCTCCACCACCAGATCCTTTCTGGGCTTCCCGCAGAAAGTCAAGAGCACGAGGACGGTAATCCACGTCACCAGCGTGGCCGGCACAGCCACCGCCAGCGCCGCCACCATGGACAGAACGCCGAAGGCGAGCCCGAGGAGCATCGACACGTACAGCGCCGAAGAAGATGAAGAAGAAGAATACTCGAATTCGTAGCGGGAGAGGACGGATTTGAGGAGGTTCGAGGAGAGAGAGAGCAGGACGGTGTAGACAGAGACAAAAAGGAAGACCCATGTTCTTCTTTTGCTCATCAGCTTCAGTAGCAGAGTGGGATACTCTGATTTTTCCTCAATTGGTGGTGTCGAGGGTTGTGATTCTCTGCAGTTTGTTGCTGCTGCCATGGATATCGTTTTGGTTCTAGTGCTCAATTTTGACGTTGATTTTACTCCTTGCCCACAGCCTGCACCATTATTAATATTCTATATATATTTCAGCCCTTATTTACGTTTCCTTTTATAATCCAGGATTCCTTTCTTTGTTGGTGAAAAGTTGGGAGTAATAGTAAAAACAAATAAATAAAAAGTGGAAAAGACTTTTTGAACAAATTGGTCTATAAATAAGCCATGTTTCCTTTATCTAAAAATTAAAAAATAAACTCATTATAGTAACTCATTAATACATATTGTTTTGACATGGTAAGAATATAAATATAATATTGAGAAAAACTACTATCTCGTCACGGAAACATTATGTGAGAGTTTTTAACCATTGATTATCTACAATAATTAACTTTAATATATATCTAAAGGATAAAAATTCTCACGGTATGATTTTATGACGGGATGGTAGTCTTCTCCTATAATATTACTAACTTACTATAATAAATAAAACCATTGTATTGTAACTAACTAGTACAGATCCCGTGCGATGCACGGGGTGCACAAAATTAAGGTCATTTATCAAGTCTGATAATTATATAAATGAATAAAGAAAAATGTACGGGATATATACAGTACGTGACCTGTAATAGACCAAAATATGAACACGGATGATGCACGGGGTGCACAATTTTAAGGTCATTTATTAGTACAGAGTCTGTGCGATGCACGAGGTGCACAATTTTTAAGTATGTGTGATACAAATACATATCGTATGCACTGGACAGAAGCACTAAATGAGTTAGTTGCACAGAGTTTGCCTGTTAAGTAGCTCCTGAACATGAGTGCATAATTTGTAGTACGTACTATAAAATCAGAACAATTTTCATACGATTAGATAATAAATTAGATAATAAATAAAGTTTTTTTATTTTAGTAAAAATTTTACGTACTTTTTTTTTACTTATCGGATGTTATGGAGTTTTTTTTGTTAAAACGATTTTATGGGATATAATACAAATACAAATAGAGGATTGAACAAAATCATAACATATTTCTATACAATTAAATAATAAGAAGGAATTAGATAAGGAAAAAAAGAAATTATATAAAGAATTTTGAATCTACATTTTTTTTTAGTATAGATAGAGTTTACGTACAAATTTTGACTTTACCGATTTTATGAGATTTGTTTTGACAAAATCAAAGACGAACACTGAAGACTGTTTCTATTAACATTTACGCTGTGTATTTAATGTTTTTTTTAGCCAAAATATTTTTTTTAAGTGTGATATATAAATATTAAAAATACTTAAAATGTTTTATAACATCTATAAAAGCATCTAAAATATTCTATATTATTCACAAATAATGTTTGAAGCTACCTA